ACTTAGCTTCGCAACAACAAAGATAACGCCTTCATTTATTATTGCGAATTAAATCATGCTTAATCCTTTCTGGAATTTTTAATGATATAAATTTTGTCTATTCTGAGTTATAATATGAACGAAATATAATACTGTTAAGTGAATCTAGCGCCAGAGTGTCGCTATGGTAAACAAATTGAGTGAATTTTAAAGAATGCATTTATTCTATTGTGTTTAATGCGCTGTCTGCGAAGTAGATTTAATTCAATCGAATGAGTTTAAATGAAATGCAATAAAAATGCGTATAATTTAATATTCTGTACAAGGAAGTCATGTGGTGTACACATCAGATTTTTTTAAGTTATATTTGTGAATTAAAATGACTCTTGAACTCTGACGTAAGACCAAAACAAAACGTTTTTAAACATCTTATAATTAATGACCCCAATTTACAATAAAAGAACCTAATGTATTCCATAATTAATGAAACCAACATAATGTACTAATTGTAAGAGGCCTTGTACTGCCTCTTATTGAAAATGGTTGCGATTAGCTAAAATTTACAAACAGTTCACATTAAAATCATTTTAATCAAGTCTTTGAATTATTCTTTTAGGAAATTCTTTAAAAATAAAGAAAAGAAAATGTTGTATAAAATCTACATCAAAATAAAGCAAAAATTCATAAAATAAAGTGTTTTTGTCGGCTATAAATTTAAATTTTACATTAGCATGTATCTCTATCATTTTTACTTCCTTGTATGAAGTAAAAAGGAAATATTGTAATCGCGAAAAGTTTCAGGCAGCATATTTCAACGAAAATATCCATTTGACTGCTTTCGAATGCAATTTAACGATGTTTTTGCGTGATATCTGGACATAAGGACAGAATAAAAGACTATTTTCCTCCAAAAAAATTATAAAACTTCTTTAAAATTAATTCTGAAGAGAATTTTTCGTGGCTTCTGTACGAACGTATGACGTACGTACGTATCTCGCATAACTCAAAAACGAGTAGCAAAGTATAACACAAAATGCTTCATTCAACGTTCTTTAATCTTTATTCAGTAGATTATGAATCTTTAAGTTCTTTCATTTAGTATTTAGTTTTAAGTCTAGATGCAATTTCTAGATGCTGCTATCTAGAAATTGATTTCTCATTTTAAACTCTTCAACACAGAATTTTTTCGCAAAAGCCATTTAAGAGAAACTCCCGCAGAGCGTCTGTAGCTTAATACAGATTCAAATTTAGCGCACTAGAATACGTAACGTTTTGTACCTCGAAGGAAAAGAAATTCACTTTGGTGCATTGTTTGAAGAAGACATGATAAGGTTGACAAGGTCATAAGGTCAGTTTCGAACCGTCTTTCGGAGAAAAAGGTGCTTCACATCCAAAATGTGTTGCCTGAACTTCCCCCGAAATATTCTTCACCTCTTCAATCAAGCCCAGACAAAGACTTATGCTGTTTTATAGTTTTAACAATGGAATCCTGTAGTTTAAGCTTCTTTTATTGTACACATTTTCTTAGACCAGAAAGATTGACAGCTGTCTATTGCCGACTTCTTTTGTTTCAAACTTTCTTTTTTAAAGACTCTTACCGACTTGAACCATGAACAGTTTTTTAAGCTCCTCCAACAGACCTCTATTCAGCTCATACAACGGGTTAAAGGTATGAGGCAAGGAAACCACTCCATATAGTCACTTAGTCATCTGTAAATCCATCACTAAACTGACAGTTATTGTCAGACAGAAAGCTTGGATCGTTTTCTTTAATTCATTCCACGAGCAGTGCAGTTTCGGTTCGCAAAGCCCCATACTTCTAAGAAGAAAAGGGTTTTTTTATTCTATACAGCAAAAGAGACAAAAAAAAAATCAGAAACTGTCTTTGTTTTTATAAAGTTAATGCTCTTCAATATTTCATTTAATAGTCTTTCGTGTCCTTTGGATATTTCATAGCAATTTACGTCTCCCTGCCAGTAGTAGATAAATAGAATATTTCTTGCAAAGCAAACTTCTTGATCTAAGAAAGTACACAATTATACTGTAGTATCTAGTTGCTGAACTTTCAGCGGGACTGTTCAAGTAAGTGGAGGAACCACACAGAAAAAGGGTTAAAAAACCCTTTATTAGATTCTTCAAAATTCACAATGCGTCGAGCGGTAACTCAACTAACAAGAACTAAACTTAAAATTTAAAGATATTAACAAAACAGTAGAATTTTCTCCAGAACTCAGTTAATCCTGTTATCTAAAACCACATCGAAGTCTAGTGGCAGCAGAATAATAGCAGTTATGCCTTTTTGAAACAGCAATAAATACAGAATCAGAAGCTCACGCTGCTCAGAGAGAGCGAGCAAGTACTATACGCATACTATAGAGTATATCTATAGTACTATAGAGTATACTCTATAGTACTATACTATAGAGTTACAGTACTTGCTCGCTCTCTCTAACTTTCCCTTCTAAGAGCTCAATTAAAACTTTTTCTTCTACTGGTAGAAATTGCATTCCTTCACGCTCGCTACCAAATTCGCCATATTCTGGCATTGACGATTCAGGGAATGAAGGTTTATAGAAAAAAAAGCATAAACTTAACTGGTTAGTCAAAAAAATATAAATCCCTACAATACCATTAATTAATAGTTCGTTTATGTAGCGATAAAGTCTAATGCAAAGTTATTATATTTAGAAACAACCCCGTGACTTTGCGTTAATTTTAATACTAAAGTTGAGGTGAAATTTTCTCAAGTTAAAAGAATACCTTACCTTTTGTACACTGCAATGTTAATGTAAACAAATAATTAAAAAAATATTTCTTCTGATTGGGATTTATTGAAAACAGATTTTCCACAATGCTATAGTTGCTGATACTTTCGATTTGATTTAAGACATAGTATTTACATTTATCGTTGAATTACAATTTCTGCACATTTCAGGTGATGCATAATAAATAAATATAAATATATAGTGTAACACACAATTCATAGACAACTGCTGGAAAGAAATAACAAGCAGTAGAGATATTACTTACCACTACTAATATCATTTAAAGCACTTCTGATTTCCAGCTATACACTTTTGTTTCTTGTTTTGGATCGTACTAAAAGGATATTTTTAGATTCTCAAATGAAATTTTCATTTATATCTATCGGCTTGTCACTATTTTTGCTGAGAATGAGAATGGGACACATGTTTTATTACACTGATTTTCCTTTATTGCATGTGTCCTCACCATATACGTAGAAGAAGGATAAAAGATGAATATCATTGAGCTTCATCCTCTCCGTCTTCCGTCATCGTACACCGACCGAATAGGAGACTTCAATCAAAACGAATGCACAATATTCGCAATATGTGGATGGTCCTACTGGAAACAGAGATTAAAACTATTGTGCATGCATCATTTTTAAAAAATCAGAACTAATGCATAGTTAACTAACTAGCTGTGTAGAAACATTAGGTTAATTGGAAGCAGGAGAAGTGAAAAATGAGCAACGCCTTCGCCGGAAACCGAACCACGGATCTCTGGAATACGCGCCCAGCGTGCTGACCGCTACGCTACGAAGGCATGCTAAGAAGGCTGGAAAAATGCCTTATATACTCCCCCTTTTAAAGGGCTAATGGGGTTTAGGGGACTCAATCGCCAAATCCTGGGTGAAGAGAATCATCATCCACCACCCTTTTATTTCGGGCGCCACTGTAGACACATTAGGTTATTTCGAAGCAGGAGAGATGAAAAATGAGCAACGCCCCGGGAATCGAACCACGGACCTCTGGAATACGCGCTCAGCGTGCTGACCACTAAATTACGAAGGCATGCTTGAGAAGAGAGAGAATACCTTGTTTGTTTGGCCCAAGTGTACCCATGAGTTTGACATACCTGTTGTACGAAGTAAAAAGGAAGTATTGTAATCGCGAAAAAGTTTCAGGCAGCATATTTCAATGAAAATATCCATTTTGACCGCTATCGAATGCAATTTAACGATGTTTTTGAGTGACATCTGTACGTAAGGACAGAATAAAAGACTCCTTTTCTTCCAAAAAAAATTTTTATCCCGAAACTGCTTGTAAAATTAATTCTGAAGAGAATTTTTCTGTGACGTCTGTACCGTACGTATATGTGTATCTCGCACAACTCAAAAAACGAGTAGCCTCAGAACGTTGAAATTTTGTATATAGGACTGCTATAACATGTAGATGTGCACCTCGTATTTTGGTTGCAATCGGCCGCACCAAACGTATATAAAATATATTTATATTATATGTATTTATAAATTTATACCACTCTGTTACCGGCTCAGTTTCTTTTACTCTTATATGTTTGTAAATTGTACATTTTTTGCTTTAAAAATGATTGAATTATGTTGTTCTTATCTTCCGGTTAAGGTTTTTTATGCCTTTAGTAAATCTGTATGCAATATTTTTAGAATTATCAACAATTTTAAAGTTGTTTAAGTGCCCGCTAAGCCTAATAATTATTTTTGATGGCGGCCATTGCTCTTGTTACATTTGAAACAGCAGGATAGCGGATTTGTTGCCAATCTACAAGAGAGAAACTTAGCTTCGCAAGCAACAAAGATAACGCCTTCATTTATTATTTAAATCATGCTTAATCCTTTCTGGAATTTTTTCGCGGAAATAAGCGTTTTAAGATTTACTTCCGTAATTTTTAATACAGATATTTTGAGTTTTTATGTATTTTTGCCTTGTCGCGAAAGTGAAAAAACTGAATTAAATTGAATGAGAAATACTCAATCGTCTGTGAAAAACTGTTTCTTTTTGTTTTGTTTGCTTAATTTTCTTTATACATAGTTCTAGCTTTATTATAGTATTTGAATAGAACATGTGGCAACGATTAGATAATTCTTTAAATGATATAAATTTGTGCATTCTGAGTTATAATATGAACGAAATATAATACTGTTAAGTGAACCTAGCGCCAGAGTGTCGCTATGGTAAACAAATAGAGTGAATTTTAAAGAATGCATTTTATTCTATTGTGGTTTATGCGCTGTCGGCGAAGTAGGTTTAATTCAATCTAATAAGTTTAAATGAAATGCAAGAAAAAATGCGTATAATTTAATATTCCGTACAATCAAGTCATGTGGTGTACACATCAGATTTTTTGGACTTGTTTACTGGTTAGATGTAATGGTATACCACTCCTTTATCTTTAAAATTTATCATACATCATACAGATATGATATCCTGTTCTCCAATAATATAATGTTCAATTCATAATATCGTCGAACTTTGTGTAGGTTAAGTTGCTGAAGACTTCGTAGGTTACGTTTATTCTTGTTCACGGGTGATTGAGTAGGTCAGGTAATTTATGAAAGTCATCCCGTTTATTAATTTTTAATATCCATCAGAGAGTTACATTATGTTAATGGCTGGAATTAGGCTAATTGTTTATTTATTCATTATGTAATTGTGTTACTTACCTATTTTGTTAAGGTATGAATTCTGTAATAAATCACAAACAATTTAGTACACATGAGCACTGAATCACATAGAATGCAATAAGAATTAAATCGTTGCTGAAGTATGGTATGTGATATATATATATCAGTGAAGAATAAATATTTATCTTTTACATAACTAAATTATTTTATTAGTACATTTTGAAAATGGTACGCTAAAGAAGCGTTCTATGAGCAATTAGCTTTCTGTAAGAAGTGCACATACAAAAGATTACCGTAATAAAAGCACGTATTAAGCATTGTTATAATAAAATTTACTAGTTCAAGCTTTACTAGGAGAGAAACAGCATGTAACGAACTTTTAAATATAATAGAGAAGGAAAGGGAAAAAAAGGTAGTCGCTATAGTTTTACATGCGAAGATACTGATTGCAATATGTTTATATCACATTGCATGCATTATGTAAATTACAATTTTCCCCCGTAATTGGGAGTAATTTTATGTCGCAAAAGCTAATTTCTGTTTTAGAACAATATACAAATTCAATACAAATTTATTTTGTGTTTCTTTTTCTGAATACGTAAGTAAAAATGCGACACGAAGCTTCAAGGAGATCCATCACTTCCACCAGCGATACCCCAAGCCAAACACCAATAAAGCCACCAATGTAACTGAAAAGTTCGACATCCTACAAATAAAAACATCAGAAGCTAATTAATTACAATAAATTAAATATCAGAAGCTAATTAATTACAATAAATTAAATATCAGAAGTTAATTTGTTACATTAATTTGCTCAGAAGTTCTTAATTATTTATAGCTAGAAGTAATCAGGAAACTAAAATAAAGAAAGATACCACAATCCGGTAGGATCAAAAACGCCATTATCATGTGTAAGTGGGCATATAACATGAGCAATCAACATTAGAGACTTGAGAAATGTTCATTAAAATATGAGTAAAATATTCATAATTTCTATATTAGTAATCAGGAAAATGTGCATAAGTTATTTTTTACATAAAAGGCTTATTTATACCTTTAATTAGTCTCGAAACGCGGTTTTGTCTTTAATCACAACAAATGCGTCATTCCGCTTTTCATTCGAACCTGTTGATATTCGGCAAAATGTGAGATTATACTCTTTCAAATTGAGTTGGTCTCTGTTGCAGATTAACAAACCAAGCTATCTAAAAGCAGTAGATGCAGTTCTTAAGAATTTTTTTTTAAACTTTTGAATCGGAAATTCATTATCTATCTAATTATTCAGTATTTTCATAGAATCACATTATATATTTTTACTTCATATGGGCGTTACACCAAATAGTCTCGAAACGACATTTTACATCGAATCACTAACGTGTTGAATCAACAAACGTGTTGAATCACTTTTCAAACTGTTGCCACCAAATATTATCTCCCTGTATTATATTTAAAGAAATTAAATAATGAAGAATCCGCATGAATATATGTATGTTTCCCGCACTGTAAAACCATAACGGTTCATAGGAGCTATCAAACTCTGAATAACGTAATCCTCCACCCCAAGCCAAACACCAATAAAGCCACCAATGTAACTTTATTAACAGCTGGAAGCCCAAATTTTAAACTTCGAATTTTTTTATTATCTATTTAATATTTTGTAAAATGTTAACGAATTTTTTATTAAAAAATCAACGATTTCAAAACGAGGGGCGACACTGTACGGAATAAATCATTTGCTAGTGCGTTAGAATGCCTTTCGAAGTCATAAAGATATGTTGTTTTTAAATATTTTGAGTACAAAGGGTCGTTAGCCCAAATGCTTTCGAAACGTATATATGTATGTAATAATAAAATTCCATAGTCAAATTACACTTAAATTTCTAACTGTATGTTCTTTTCATCTTTTAATGGCGACGTTCTCTTATTTGAAAGTACGTGGAATTAAATCCACAGCCCCGTAGTCAAGTTGTTTTTCCCGCTTTTTCTACAAGTACAGTTGTAGAATGTTCGGGAAATATTTAAGGCGAACTGGAATGGCTGACGAGGCTGACGTCATTTCTTGGAAGCTCCGCCTTTCCAGAGGCTAAAGAAGGACTCGCAAAAGGAATATCGAGGCTTTTTCTTAAATGTCACGATGCAGTAAACTTCATACAAAAAGTCATTAGCAATTCTTTTTTATTTACTCCGAATATCTGATTTTGTAACTGCTATTTCTCCTGAATAATAAATAAATGGATCCTGTTTTCTAAACTTATCGTCTGATAATTTAAGCTACGACTGCATTTATATTTCTTCAGCAATCTATTTATTTCGGACCAAAGCTGGTACATCATGTGTATGTAAATGAAAAAAACATTCCTTTGTGCACAATATAAAATCTGAAAGCTTTCAGAATTTTTTTGCTTTTTAATTATTTATTTCATATTTGTAAATTTTTAATGATTTTTTTATTAACAAACTCAACGATTTGAAAGCGAGCAGTGGCAACACTATACAGAATAAAACATTTTTACCTCTGCGCTAGATAGTTTATCAGAAATACTAGAGATGTGCCTTTTTAAATATTTCGTGGCTTTACTTGTGGGGATTTATTTAATTTAATTAGCAGTTACTTTTATTTTAAAGTAACCTTTCTAACGCTCTTGCTTTAAACTCACGATTTCTTGCCATGCGTTAGCGTGCGTGTATACAAATGAGTTAGAAGGATGTTAGCATTTAAGTGTAGTTTCTGGAAGGAGAATTAAGGAGAGAGTGTTCTGCCTGAAGACCACGTTTCTATCTTTAATTTACTAGCGATTAGATTTCCATTGCGTTGAGAGCTTCTTGCCGTTAGGTTTGTTTACGTCCACTCTTACGAGTCAGAGAGCCTGAGTGCGTGTTAAGTAACCTGGTAAATGCTATTAAGCTAATTTAATTCTATTTAATTTTAATTTACTTGTTACCTTTTGTGTTAAGCCAGAAATGTTGGCTTCTGTAAGCACGAGTAGACCCATCTGTGAATAATAATTGATTTAATAGTGGGTTATTTAAGACCTTCTCTGGACTTTTGTCATATTTATGACTTATGAATAATTCCCTACACAGTCAATCTTAGAAAACCTTTTCGGCGAATGCTCAGATTTTTTTTTCTTTCCAAAGTGGCAATTTTTCCAGAAGGACTATTAATTTCGTTTTGCCATTTTGCGTTGATTCACTACAAGCGTTGTTTCACTTTTCAAATTGTGCCACCAAATATTATTGCCCTGTATTTTATTTAAAGAAATTAAATCATGAAGAATCTGCATAAATGTATGTATGTTTCTCGCATTGTGATAATAGAACGGTACCTAGAGCCATCAAATTTTGAATAACGTAATCTTCCATAGAATATGGGCAACTGGAAGCCCAAATTTGAAATTTGGAATTTGTTTTATTATCGATATCATATTTCGTAAAACTTAAGCGAATTTTTGATTAACAAACTCACGGATTTTATAGCTAGCAATGGCAATGCCCCTTTGGACGTAATTTAAAATCTGAAATCTTTCAGATTTTTTTTCATTTTTATTTATTTATTCATTTTTTCTTCGGAATAGGAAATTATAAGAGAAACAAACGGAAATTTCTAAGTTTATACTTCCTACTTTTGCCTTTCGAAGTAAACCAGGATTAGTAAAATTTTTTTTGGCTGATATCCTTCGATTTGAATGAACAAATTCACTATCTGCAGACATGATTTTATTAGCGCCTGGGCAGATGGTAAGCGACGAACTATTATAATTTACACATTTCTAATACTTTTAGATATGAAAATTTAGCATCTAGATAATAAAAGATGTTTAGGAGGAAGGGGAAAAAGTCACATTTTCTTACTCTATATTGTGGCTTATGCTGGAGACGAATAATTTCTGTATCATCTAAATAGATTTCCACGCTGATATGGCCCCTGGAAATATAGAACACAAATTTTAGGCGTCAGAAATTATAAAGCAAAAGTGATTTTTAAATTAATATAAACAATCAAAATGATTAATAAAAGTAATATAAATATCCACACTTTATTTTCAAGGGTTGTAGCACTTACCATTAAATGCTTTCGGCGCCATCGGCTCTAGTTCCAGCTGAAAACGTTCAGTGGTATAAAACAAAGAGCAGATTCTTATCACTAAAAATAACCACTATCCTGATGTATCGTTTCCGCAGAGCAATATATTATTTCGGCACATCTAACTAACAAAAAAGTAATCTAACTCGAACAGTGTCTCTTTGTTTCCCGCGTAACGCGGTAGGGATTAAGAGTCGTTGAAAAAGAGTCTCCTCTGATGAATGCGCAAGAATATTTGATTCGATATGGTTTGAAAGACATGGAGCGTAACCAAAGAAGAACTCTTGAAGAGCAAGCTTAGGATAACCAAAATATTTCGGCTTTGATGCCAAAAGAATGAAGAAATTATGATATGATGATATATGACAAATTTCTTCATGCCGGTCGAACAGATAATAACTATTTCTTAAAGTTCTGGATTCAAATGTTCACACAGTTTGACAGTTTTAGGACTTTTAATGGTTAGATCTGAGACAAATTACAAAATTAATTTTAAATTTCATTTATTATCTTCAGAAAATATTCTCACTAGAACCTGATTTTTTAAAACTGCAGGCAAAGGCAACTTTGTTACAAAGGCCTTATCCTTTTTTCGATATTTTTCCTCGAAGTAACTATCATTTATGGTTCTTATACAAAATGCCTCTTGGAATAATCTAATAATTTAATCAGTTTAAATCTTTTGAAATAAAATATGTATTTCATCTTTCATACTTTTTTCTTTATGTATTGCTACATTCTAAACGTGTTCTCATTTTCTCGAAATCGTTGTATAAATGTAAGTTTAATTCATTCATAATTCAAATTTATTATATATTTTATTAATTAAGTTATCCTTCCCTACATATAATAAAAGAAAGAGTCTGTCTGTGTGTGTGTCTTTCGTTCGTGTGCTGCGCGTAAGCTAATAAACCCACGGCTATGAAATTTGGTACAAAGGTGCATCTAGACAACAGCCAGTGCACCGCGAAGCTATTTTTTCGAAATTTGAATTCGAATTTTTTTATTTTATGTTTTGTGACGAAATCGCGTCATTTTGAGACATAATGGGCTATAGGAAAGCGAGATTTTACTCTACGCACTCCATTTTCACATCGTCATGAAACGCAGGCACTTAGCTATTTTACGAACTTAAAATAAATTTCGTGTTTCAATAAATCGATTAAATGCGAATTTATTTAATAAAGGGAGTTTAACACCTTTTCAACGGGATTTTTTCTAAAAAAGTTTAATTTTAAAAATGTACAGTTTACTTTTCTTTGATTTTTGGACACGTTAAACTTTCGTCCTTGCGACTGCTTTTACAAAAAGAATTTTGGAAAAATGATAATATTTTGTATTTTTAAAATTTTTTTTAATGAAGCTTCCCGAGTACACTTCTCACATCTCACATCTTTAAAAATGTGATTTTGGCAACAATTTTCCTTTCTTATTGTTGTTCACTGATTTTTGAGGAAATCGCATCATTTTGAATGGTTTCATTCTTTTAGAAATATGGGTTTGGGCAAGAAATTTTCATCGTATTTCTTATTCCACTGTTTTTAAGAGATTGGCATATTTCATTGTCATTTATATATATATAATATAGCAGCTTCGCTGCCAGCCTTCATCTGGCTTTTAAATGTACCGGAAAAATGTCTGAAGGGAACACCAAATGTTAAATTTTAAAACTGCGCAGAATTTTACTCTGCAGAACAACTTCATAAAAAAAGTTATTACGAATAACAAAATTACAATGAAATAAGCAATATCCCTTAATACAAATATTAATCATCCTAATAAACAAATTAACAACTTCCCTTTGCAAAATCTTAAGAACTCAAATGGTATACACGACGTTAAGAACTTTGTTTCCTAATAAAAATCACTCAAAAATTTTCAGTGTCTTAAACAGTGAAATGAGCAATAAATAACATAAAAGAATACAAAAAAACAAAAAATTCTGAAAAGCAAAGTATAATTAATGATATTTTATCTTATATTTTTTAAAGAAAAAAATTACACAATGAAATAAGCTATATCCCTTAATACAAATATTAAGGTGTCCGCCGATAACATCGCGGCAAAAACATCGCAGACGAAAACGTCGCGGAGAAAACAACGCAAGGCGAAAACGTCGTGCTACAAAACATCGTAAGAGAAAACATAGCAAAGAGAAAACATCGCAGTTCTAAAACATCGTGGTACAAAACATCGCCGTCGAAAATAAAGCGGTTCAAAAACTTCGCAGTTTAAAAACATCGTCGTCGAAAATATCGTGGCAAAAAATAAAGTATCTACAAATCATCGCATGACGATAACATCGCAAATATACTTTTTTTCAGGTTTTAATAATTGTAAGTGGATATTCCCATAATGTTTTGTGAGCGCAAGGTGTAAAGAAGGATAATTTTTAATTTACATTTTTTTATTAACTAATAAATTTTTGCTGAATAAGTAAGAAGGAAACTTAAGCATAGAAAATTAAATGCAACTTATAGATTATACTTTTCATGAAAAATTACCATTAAAACTTTATAAAAAATGATTTATTAATGGCCTTTGTTAGTTAACAATGTCGGTTTAAAATTCTATTAAGTGCTATAAGTTGCATTAATTTTCTATGCTTAAGTTTCCTTTTTATTTTCTCAGCAAAAATTTATTAATTAATAAAAAATATGGAAGTAAAAATTATCCTTCTTTCCATCTTGCGCTCACAAATCATTATGGGAATATCCATTTACAGTTATTAAAGCATGTCTGTAAAAAGCATGTCTGCGAGTTATCGTCATGCGATGATTTGTAGATACTTTATTTTTACCACGATATTTTCGACGACGATGTTTTTAAATTGCGAAGTTTCTGAACCGCTTTATTTTCGACCGACGATATTTTGCAACACGATATTTTAGAACTGCGATGTTTTCTCGTTGCTTTCTTTTCTCCTATGATGTTTTGTAGCACACGTCATATTCGCCTTGCGTTGTTTTCTCCGCGAAGTTTTCGTCTGCGATGTTTTTGCCGCGATGTTTTCGGCTGTAACCAATATTAATTATCGTAATAAAAAATTAACCAACTTTCCGTTGAAGAAAAAAAAATCATGCAAAACGTTACAGTACCTTACAAACAGTGAAATAAGCAAAAAATAACGTGAAAGCAACTCAAAAAACAAAAAATTCCACGCAGAATTTTACTCAAATCAAAAGATTCTCATTTTCGAGTGATGTATCGAGTTTCAAGTGTAATAATCCTACAATCATGGCTATGCAGTTTACCAATTTACAAACTGATGATTTGCTAAACGCTGGCAGTGGTCAATGAACTTTCCAACGTCTAACTTTTGAATAAAGACATGAAAATTACAATACGAATGGTCTTACTTCTAATTTAAATTTTTAAAGCATAAACTCTCTCTCTTTAAATCTTATTTAATCTTAACATATTTAGCATACATAAAATAACATGTATTGAAATCCTTTATATATGTTTACAATTTTACATATTTTAAACATATTGAAACATCTGGAGACCTCCTGAAACTGAAGACTTAGAGAAGATGGTAGGTTTTCTCTTGTGCAAATCATGTTAATTAACAATTAAAGAATATGAAAGTCTAGAATTCCTCTGACTTTGTTGCTGTTTTATAATTTTGAACTGATACGATTGTCTGGATCGTTTAGAATTTATTTAACTGAATGTCTAGGGGTCTTATGATTTTTTCCGACAGTTATTTGTTACTTATACATTTAATAAAATATAAATAGGATTTTTATTATTTTTACTAAGTTATTAATACCAAATTTTTAGAATTAATTCTTTTAAAAAACAATGATATATAAAAACATGAAAAAGAGAAAAGAATTGTAATTACTATTTAATTTACAGAAAGTTGTTCAATTTTCAACAGATATATAAAATGGAAGAAGCTCAGTTTTAGAAAGAACTCAATTTTTGACTGGATATGACAATTTTATTAGCTATTTAAAGCGATATGGACTTGCTTTAAGTACTTTGTGCAGTAGCGATAGCGGCGATGAAGATGTAAAGCATATTCTTCTTGAGTGAGCTCATCATGTCCAGTAGAAGTTATTTCTGGCAACTTTGATGCGCTTGTCTGTATCTTGGCCACCAATTCCTTCTGAACTTTTTTCAAACTAAAGAGACAGTTTCTGCTTTTTAGGATTTCATTCTCAATTTAGATTATTGAGTTCTCTTTATTTTTAGCCCAAAGGAGCGTTAGTGTGTGCGTGTGTGATTATGGCAAAGCCTCGAGGGCTATCTGCCTAAGGTGAAGGATGCCTTCGTGGAGGACTTTCTAAGGGAAACTGGCTCGTATACACGTTACACACAAAGAAGCGTTAGCTCAGAAGGACTATAAATTTCGTTTTGGCATTTTGCGTCGATTCACTATAAATGGCGAATCACTTTTGAAATTTTTGCCACCAAATATTAGAGCCCTGTATTATATTTAAAGAAATCAAATAATGAAAATCTGCATGAACGTATGTGTGTTATATTAAAGATCATTATTTTATGTTAATTACAACTCATATTTTATTTAAATTTATTTAATATAAATTAAATAAATGTGTAGTTTAAGTTAGAACAGTTTTTTGTTAGAAAAATGAAAAATACTATTTTTATTTAATATTAGTTCAATAAAATAAAGATAATACAATATATTTAGTTTATATCTTAATTTTAAAAAGTTTTAAAGTTGAATTCATTTTGTAATTTTCTCAGGAAAATGTTTAATTTTCTAGGAATATACATAGAAATAAATATTATAATGAAAGAATGCGAGCTCTGTCACATACAATAATATAATAAGTACGTTTGATAAATTTTGTAAACAAAACATTGACCTACAGAAAAATGTCCGGTTAGTTAAAAATCAATTATATTAATAATGGTAAAATATTACTATGATTAGAGCGAATAGATTGTGTAAAAAGGTTTCCACGTTAATTTCACAAATTTACTTGCATGTGGTTGTAATAATGCCATTTCCATGAATTTCTACATATTTAAATACAACTACTAGTATATATAGAAACTACATTGCAGTAAAATTCCTATAGAAAAAAATTAACTTACGATTCTTCCATAGTTTCTGTAGGATCATTCTGAAAAACAAATGCAATTTTCATAAATACGTATTTAAAAATAATGAAAATATTTATATACTGGACCTTTTTCTTATGCAATTTTTAATCACAAAATGCCCGGAAAAAGAAATAAAAGAAATTCGTTTTCATTATTGAATTTTATGCAAATTTAATAATTAGAATTCTACTATATTAAGATACTGCCTACTACTTATTTTATTTTATTGACTTCCCTTTGCCTTTTACGCATTTTATCCAAATTTTCTTGCATGCTATATATAAGTAAACGTCAACAAATATATGTTTCTAAGCTTCAGGAAGCAATAACTGCAATTTTCTGTTTAAAATTTCGTATTATTTGATAACTTCAATAGACACGGATAATTAGCATACGAAGTGACCCAAAGTCTAGTAAACGTTTAAAATAATTGTATTTTCGTAAATATGTAATACCTGGCAGAGTTATAATTAGCACAGTAACGTATAGATTTAAGAATTTGTTTTAAATTGTAATGTAGACGTTTAGTTAAAAGGTTTAGACTCTGGCATTGCACCAGGTAGATTGTTACAAATTGTCAACTATTAAAAACGTTTCAAAGAAGAAAATCTACTAAAGCTCTCTACATAACCTTTCAAATCAAGCATCTTTTGTGAAACTGCATTGAGAGAACAAAGCAGTGCAACTCTGCAAGCTTTACATCAACTCAAAGTAATGAAACGTGCCGAAGGGTCAATGAATCCCGTAGAATTGAAAAAAAAAAACTAATTAGAAGTTTGAGACAGTTGCTTTCTTGTAGAATATCTCACGAGCAGAAGATCTGTAACTGACGTTGCAATTGCAAGACAATTGGACACTGTATAATGCTGTCCATTTGTGGAGAAAAAAGCTGTCTAAATTTGATGTCATATCCTTACGAGATTTATTAAACATTCTGGTTGAAACCGTTATCAGAGCATTAAGACTAATATTTTACTTAATGTTTAGTACAACTAGTGTAATTTTATAAGAAGTCTTTCTAAACTCAGTAGCTTTATGAACTCACTTATTCCATTCTAAACCGTTTTGCTGCAAATAGAGGAATTCGTTAAATAATACTTTAAGAAAATTTAATGTGTACATGATAAAATAAAAAAGACCGGTACTACTTGATTTTTATTATCCCCGTTATCAAAAACCCGTTTTCATTTTCATTACCCCCGTTCTCAAAACGGTGGCAAGATTATCCAAGTTTAAACTATTCTCATATAGTCTGTGGCTGCCATATCTCTCCGATTGCTTTTAACATGACATCAAAAGGCTCATCTTTCCCACAGGATGTAAACCACATGAATTCCGAAAGATATGACTCTAGATGATGTCCGAGCCGGGCACCTTCGTTTTCTTTTTTGTTTCGCCATTTAACAAAGCCCCACAATTTTCAACATTTTTTATTCGAGCACCCGTTGTTGGATCAACAAAATTAAATCTGTGATTTACAATTAAATGGCTGTAACCAAGCTTTTCAAGTTCGTTTATCTTAATGGGACTCATACACCTTAAACCCCTCATGATCTTCGAATATGTGACTATTGCAAGAATTGGGATATTTTATTTATTTTAAAAGCAATTACTTCCAAACTTTTTACAGCTGACTACATGATATAGCTGCTTTGGAAATTAGTAACCAGAAAGTTTGTGTTGCCACAAATATTTTTGTAATTTAATCCTCTTTGTGACAAAATATTTCGGCATGTTTCCACCTTGCGCGCATGATATTTTAAAAATGGCTAATGGCACATACTTAAAATTTGATGGAATTCTTTATATGGGCACTATTTTCTAACTGAACCAACAATCTGATGAATATTTTAATACTGAAAAATTTTATGGACGAAAACATTACAATTTTTTTTAATAAAATACATTTTATAAACTCAACTCCAAATAAAATAAAAATTTAACATGAAATTTTTAGAATTTTAGGTTCACAGTAGTTTCCAGATGTTATAAAAGCTATATATTAAATATGGAATTAAATTATGAAACAGAATGTTTTAAACGGTGCAAGTTGAAAACATGACGAAAAATGTTGTCACAAAGCGGATTAAATTATAAAAATATTTGTGGCAACACAAACTTTCTGATTATTATTTCAGAAAGCAGCTATATTATGTAGTCAGCTGTAAAAAATAGCAGTAATTGCTTTTGAAATAAATAAGTTAATCCCAATTCTTGCAACAGTCACCTTTTCGAACATCTTATGGGTTTTAAGGTGTATGAGTCCCCTTAAAGGCTCACGAGCAATCAGAATATATTTTGGTCCCTTCCACTATGTGACCTACAGTCGTTGATATCTGTATACTGTTTCCCGATTTGAACTTGTAAAAGAAGGTACTAGTCATTTTCATGGCATGACTCTCTCATAATCCACTGCTTTAGAAGTAAGTATTATCTCTGCCAGCGTCGATTTTTTTCCTCGTTCGAACAAACTCTCGTCAGTTTTGACTATATTACTTCAGGTATTTGTTATTTATTGTTGGATTTATATCAGGTATATTTTTGTATTGAATATATTCGTTATCTTTTATTATGTGTCATTTGTTATTAATGTTAATATCATTAATGCATCAAATAAGAGTCGAAAGGGATAGTATTTATGGTTGTCCTTCGTTTAGCTAACATTTTTCACATAATTTGGCGGCTTGTCACCGTGTTAAGTAGTATCAAAAAACCTTTAATTTTATACATTTGGGGTACAAAACTTTATTTTCATAGCACTAGAGCCACAGATTACTCGGTGGTCTGTTCAGATTCGGAAAGGTTCGTACGGGTACTGTCAAGTTTGTCTCGGGCTGTGCGATCGCTACATATTTGATACTGAGGGGTGGTTTTGAGGGGTTTTGCTTCCGTTGATCTGCTCAGGGGAACTGAAATTGTCATGGGCTCTTCATTGGAGATCATTTTATGCCTGGTTGCGCTGCCTTGCTTACTTTCAAACCTGACTAAGTTCTTTGTTGCTCAGGATTGACACCGGGGATTGCGCCGCCTTTGATCGCCTCTAGATGTTAAAGTGTTACTCCATGTATGGACTATTGTTTGCATGGGTCAGAATGTTTCTGTCTTCTAGTGCGTTGTATTGATTTAATTAACTTCAGTTGCAAATTCACTGAAATACATTTTTTTAATTCTTATTTTCTTTCATAAAGTCCTGTTCTTATGTCACATGGATTTTCGAAGCTGTTAGTCTTGTGTTTAATATTTTCTTCCTTTTGAATTTTATTGAAATTATTTACAGCAGATTGAAGCTGCAAACCTTCGTCTCGAAATTCCCGTAATAAATTACCATGAATTAAATGCTTCTGCTTTAAAGCTGACGATACCTTCAGTTTAAAAGTTAAATCTTGAAAAGAAGTATGAATAAATCTTAAATGAAGATTCTCGGTATTTTAAGTAAACTAACACACGCCTTATCGATTAATATTCATCTAGTGTAAAATGTAAATAATGGAAAACTTTATCTGAATTTTTTCAGTTTTATTTTATGTTGAAAATATTCGAACCCTAGAGTGGGTGGAAGAAAGGAATAGGCAGTAATCATATTGAAAATAACTTAAATAGTAAAGTTTTGAAAAATAACATTTAGAGTTTCTTTAAAACGGAACAAAAATTTCAGTTTCATTAGCAAAATTATACTCACTTTTTCTCTCTCATACCTTTCTTGAACGTCAAATATATATTTAAATCTCCTAAAAAATGGATTTAAATTAAAAGTATTAATTGCTTTTAACATGCTTTTCAATCCATTTTTTAAACTATATTCACCAAAATTACATCATAAAATTCTTAAAACATTCCTATAAAATTGTATTTCCTATAACAAAAGTAATCATTAAATACAAGAGAGAACTTCCTTTATCATACTACTACTGACTTATATTTTGACATTTTTATTCCCTGTCTGGCAGATTAATTGAGGTAAAAGTTAAAAGGTTAACCTGACGAAAGAAACATAAATATTTTATACAATTTCTGCAGTTGCTGCTTGGGCAAAAATTTCAAACAGCCCAGAAAGCGCTTTACGATTTTTAATCCTAATGCATTTATTGAATCTGGTAAGTTGTTCAGTAAAGAAAGACACAAGTTTTCCCAAAAATATCCCAGCAGTGCCCGAATAGATACAGCTAAAGTTACTTCGACCCAGTTCTGTTTCTGACTATTGCCCGGCATAACTGCATGAAGGTTCTATGATCTCAAATACAGTGGATGGACAAAAATATGGAAACACCTTGTGAAATGCATGTTTGAAATGAAAGATTGATTTTAATGAAATATGTAGGTGGCCCTGGCGTTTTTGACTACTGACGCCACCTATACAACTTCGTAAATGTGCTAAACAGTTCAGTTGTTGTCGGAGTACTGTTATGTGAGGTTATCATTGCATTATGTCAGAGTTAACAGACTTCGAACGTGGGCAAATTGTTGGAGCACGTATGGTAGGTGCTTCCGTAAGCAAGGTAGCCGAGGTGTGGTGTTTAGGTTTCAAGAGGTACTGTATCGAAGATTTATTCCGCATATTTGAAAAGCGGAAAAACATCATCTGCTAAATCACAGCGCGGACGAAAGTGTGTCCTGAGTGATCGTGAACAGACGATCATTAAGGGCAATTGGACGAAAAATAAGAAGACCACAGCTGAAAAAGTTACTGCTGAAATGAATGTTGTGTTACCGAACCCTGTGAGTACCAAAACGATTAGAAGGAGCTTCATAAACAGGGAATTGCTGGCCGTGCTGAAATTGAGAAGCCACTCATCAGTGATGCTAATGCCCGTAACAGAAAAAGGTGGTGTTTAAGTCCTAAAGCCTGGACTATAGAGCAGTGGAAGCGAGTAGTATAGTTTGACGAGTCTTCTTTCACATTGTTTCCCACTTCTGGCCGAGTTTACGTCTGGAGAACGCCATCTCAAGCCTATAATACAGAGTGCTTGTTACCAAGAGTGAAACATGGCGGGGGTTCTGTTATGGTTTGGGCAGCCATATCGTGGTTTTCTGCTAGCCCCATGATACCTGTGTCAGGGCACATGACTGCCAAGACTTATGTGAACATTTTGGCCGATCAAGTTCATTCCATGGTACAAACTTTGTTCCCCGATGGTGATGGTGTCTTCCAAGACGACAAAGCCCCTGTTCACACAGCTCACATTGTCCAAGACTGGTTTCCCTGAGCACGAGGATGAGTTGTCCCATCTCCCCTGGCCACCACAGTCACCAGACTTGAATATTATCGAACCTTTGTGGTCTACATTGGAACGGAATGTGCGTTCTCGTTATCCACCGCCAACATCGTTATCTGAACTTGCCACCGTTTTGCAGGAAGAATGGTATAATATTCCCTTGGCAAACATGCAGGAACTGTATTTATCCATTCCGAGAAGACTCCAAGCTGTTTTGGATGCCAACGGGTTTCCTACACCATATTAAACAGAAACATGTTTTTTAAAGGTGTTTCCATATTTTTGTCCAACCCTGTATATTCGGAATGAATATAGCCAGTTTTCAGTCCAAAGGAGCGTCAGCTCAGAAGGGCTACTTGTCTCGAAACGGGATTTTGCGTTAAATTATTGTATAAATCCCTTTTCAAATTGTTGCCGCCAGTATTATCGCCCTGTATTATTTTTAAATAAATTAAATAAAGGAGAATGTTCATAAATGTAGGTATTTTTTTCGTATTGTGAAAAAACAACGGTACCTAGAGCTATCAAATTTTGTATAACGTAACCGTGAGTACCTGGAAGGTCCAAATTTTGAATTTCGAATTTGTTTCATTATCTATTTTACTTTCTGTGAAACTTTAACGAATTTTTGATTAACAGACTCAACGATTTCAGAGCGGGCAGCCGAAACACTTGTATAGAAAAAAACATTTTTACCACCAGCTCGCGAGATTGTCTATCGGAAATTCTAAAGACACGCTGTTTTTAAATATTTTGTTATATTGCTGCTAAACTGAATTTTATGTGGTTTAAGTGCGATGAGCATGATATTTAATAAGCCAAGGTGATACCTAAAACGTTAGAAAAACGCCCCTCTGGGCCTAATATAAAATTTGAAAGCTTTTATACTTTTTCTTTTAAAGCGTCATTTCCGAAAATATCTTTCCTAAAGCTCGTACATCACAGGAACTTCGTTATAAAAAATACTGAGTAGCAGTATCAATGAAATTCATTTGAAGCTGCATTGTTTTACTTGAATTTGCGCGAAATCTTGACAGAGAGGAACAGATTCGAAAGGATGTTACATTCAGCCTCTTTAGCTTTTATTACTCATTCAGTGGTCACTAAGCCCATTTAATTAGCAGAATAATAGCACTTGTATTTCTCATTTACATTTTGACTTAAGAAACGAGTTAACTTTCTGATTTATATAATGCTTTATACCTAATGTTTGACAGCGGTATTATGCCATTCTGTTTCATTTTGTTAAAAACTAAGTTAAAAAAAGTATTGATGTGTATTAATCAACTTATAAACACTGCCATATATGTTGATATTTCTCAAAGTTATCATATGTGATGTGCACATATTGCTGCAGTTTTACTCTTCAAAACCGGGGAAAAAAATCTTGCTTTTTAAATTTAAACTTCCTAATAAGCTCGATAAAGGTCAACATGCAATGTATAGCAAACTCTCAGAAAATGTAATTAAATAAGCAAATGATAAAATACCTGGGCACAATAAGCCATAAATGCTAAAATTTGTATGAATGAAAAGACGAAAGCTGAATTTAATTTTATTGTTTTATAATCTGTTATCTTTTGAACAGACAATATTTTTAATCTGATACGTTTGCCTATATTGAAGTTCTTAACTTCACGATACGCATACATTTGTGGGGCTAATCTTTGGAATATGGTAACAGGTAGTTTGGCGACATTTTGGTAAGGCGATAAAGGTTACTAGCTAGGACTTTAACAGTGTGCATGGATAGAGACAAGAGTGAGTGTGCGCAATGCCATTTTTGTGCAATTCTGGGATGTTTTTTTAAGTGAAAATAGGTCGACGTGTACATGGATACCGTGTATGTGCAATTCTTAAAATCGCGGCAAGCAGTGGACGATTCTGCAGTTTCTCCCAATTTCGCACCTAATCTTCGTCATGATTAAGCACTTTTGTTCCATAAAAGTTCTAGCATAAGCGTAATTCGACTAGCAGATTGTTGGGAAAAAAATGCTGAGGGAAAAAAAAACGCCTTTACTTCGTGAAAACAAAATGGCGTCCAAAAAAAAAAAACTAGCAAGTGCTGTAGTAGGGTTGGTCTCCAAATTTTCGCCAAAAAATCGCCAAGTTACCATAATCTAAAGATTAACCATTTGTATTATATCTTTAACAATCTATTTTTAATGTTTTATTCTAATTTGTAATCTTATTCATATATAACCAGCAAAAGTACCGCGAATATCAGACATGCCTAAAACGTCGTTTATTTCTCAATTAGCAAAGCAAAGATGTTTGGAAAAATGACTCAGTTAGCTAGTATACGTAATATCTTTCCGGTCTTTTCTCTTCTGTAAAAATTTGGTACAAATTATTAAATGTTTATAAAAATTTTAATCCCTGAATGTGTAATAGATTTCAGCTTTAACATTTTCTAATTCCGGATGATGTTTGTAATAATGTTTCGAGTTTTGAAACATATAGGCAAGCAAATCATCTCCTAAATAAATTAATAATGTCGCTAATAATGGCTGAAGAAATTTTAAGAAATTTCACTACTGAATGGGTTTTATTATAAGAATAATGCTTGATCAAGCTTGGACTTATAATAAGCATTCTTCATCAACTCTCTTTGATTCAAATAAAAGTTGCATAACTCGCGAGCAATTTCTTTTTCGAGCAAAATGTGCAAATCATCCCTACCATCACTATGACTACAAGTAGATTTTCTTTAAATGAAACTGATTTATATTCATATTCCACAAATGGAAACCGCAAGTACCAGCCTCCAGCCCCTTCGTAGAGATTCGAAAATGGGTCGAACTAAACAGTGGACTGCGATTTCATTGCTCGGTCTTTGGTGTTAAGCATTAGATGTCTTTGAAAAGTTTCGAAAACCATACCTTTTTCTTATACACCAAAGTATCATATACCATAGCACTGCTTTGAAAATGCACTAAGAAAGCAGATTAATAACTACATGCATGCTTTTTTTCACGTGTCGTTAATTTTGGTAAGATACTCATTAAACAGCTATAAGATTCTCTAGAAGCAACCTATTATAATTTTATGATAGCAATTACTATCTAATAAATAAACTAAAATATGATGTGGACATCACGTGGCTTCCTTGTACGGTATACTAAATTATACGCATTTTTGCGGCACTTCTTTTAAACTTATTCCTTCGAATTATTCTAACTTAATTAACTAATTCCTCAAAGCCAATTGAAAATGACATCAAAAATTGAAAATTTAGATATTAATTGTGCCACTCAATTTTTGTTGTACGGATGTAAATTTTTTTATAATTTTATTTTTAAATAATGAGTATAAAACTTTCCCAAATATAATTGTAGGAACCGGGAAATCGCATTTAATGTTAGATTTCGTTATTTGTCGACAAGTATTTTTTTTTTTAATTTGACATTGCCAAAACATGAAAATTTTCGTCATTTCAAACGCTTCTGTAACTGGCAGTATGTGACCAACGATTGCAAAAATAAAGTATAATATGTGTATATATATATATGCATACATTTGGTACTTCCCATTGCAATAAAAAAGAGACGTGCACAATTAGATGTTACGGCAGTCCCATGTAAAAAATTTCAAAGTTTTATGACTAATAATTTTTGAGTTATGTAAAAACACACATATAAGCGTACGTACAGACATCAGGAAAGCAATCCATTTTAAATACGTTTTACAATCCGTTTCGGGAAACGTAGTCCATTATTCTAGACGGACGTACAGACATCACGCATAAAAAAAGGAAGTCGGTCAAATGGATTCGGGAAGGGCCAAATTAGATATTTTCATTTTATAGGATTCCCGAAATTTTCGTGATTACAATACTTCCTTTACATCACACATGGAAGCAAGAAAAAGTCGAAAAGCATTATGATTATTAACTTAAAAATGGTTTTAATCTGTAATAAAATCTAAACAAATGCTGAAATTTGACCAGCCACGTGTGTGCTGATGAATAAATGTTATTATGTTGTAAATTACATGTAAGAGAGAAAAATAATGTACAGAGTTACTAAAAGAAAAAGTTATTCATATTGAAAGAAATGAAATAAAAGGCACACTTACGAACAATCATCTTTGCACTTTCCAGAGCAGGCATAAAATTTTAGTATTTCTTCATCCGCACAGTTTTCCTCTAGGTCCGCTGAAGAAAAATGCGTATTTGAGAAAAAAAGGCAAATCATTAAGATAAACTTTCATATAAAATTTAAAATACTGAAGATAGGGATAATAAACAACAAAATACACTCCTCCAAAGTGAAACTGCAACACCAAGAAAGAATGCGTCATGCAAATTGCAAGAGCGTGAGATGTGAGGTGGATATGCAAATGATAAAAGTTGCGCACTCTTTGGACCATGTAGTGCGCACATGTGGGCTATAAAGGTCGGCCACTTTCCCTTCTCATAAACAGCATTTGAGGGTTTACAGAGCATTGGAGACTTCAGGAGAAGCATAGAAAATGCGTCTGAGACGTTGGCGAGCTCAATACCATCAGCTAACGATAAGGGAATATTACCGTATTATCGAACTTGGTTTGTCGCTGCGCACAATAGCCACTCGTGTTGAGTACAACGTGAGTACCATCCAACGTTGTATCACACGATGGGATTCAGGAAGGTGTACGGGAACGTTGAAGAGGAAGTGGTGCGCACATGTGCACGTCAGAGCGCACAGAACGGGAAATGGCATACTCTTAATAGCCTGATCGAATTTAACAACTTACCCTAGACGGTAGCCTCTCCAGATCTGAATCCCATCGAACACCTGTGGGATGTCATTGGACATGACATTAACCGAGGACCACGGATGATCTGTGAGCAGCAGTGGATGTGGCTTGGCAAAGGTTACCTCAGGCAGCCATCACTGAACTCATTGATAGCATGCCTCACCGGGTTGCGGCCTGTGTCGCTGCCCGAGGTGGGCACATTAGATACTGAATAAATTGGTTTATAATGATTTTTAATGTGTCTGTTTTTTTAATCATTTGCATATCCATCTCACAACTCTCGAGCCTACAAATCTGCAAGACGCTACGAGCATTCTTTCTTGGTGTTGCAATTTCACTTTTGAGGAGTGTAAAAATGTGAAATTTTTGCATAAAATTTATTTAGTCTCGTATTCACCGTGTCTGTAAATGTCTTATTCACCGTCGTGTGTAAATACCCGAAATTTATTTTTGCAACAGTTAGTAGCAGGTTACAGGGGAGGGCAGAATCCGAACACCCGGGCACCTTTCAAAGACTATTTGGGTGTAGTCCGGGCAAAGCAAATGTATAGGGCAATATCCTCCAGGCGGCCCCACGTGGACCTCAACAGGAGTTTATTTCAAGAAAAAAATGGAACGCTGGGCTTTTCATAATTTAATATTGAGCATAACCGTAACGAGTATTTAGCATACACTTAATCATTAAACATACACTTACATATTATGCTTCGTTCAACATATAATTACATACAGTGGGCATTTTACATTTAGAGAATTAACATAAGCTTAACGAGCATTTAACATACATTTAAGCGTTAAACAATAAACTTACATGCTATGATTCGTTCAACAAATACTTACATATACTGACAAATACTTCACAGTTAAACACTGAAAATAAGCTTAACCAGCATTTAACATACACTTAACCGTTACACATACACTTACATATTATGCTCGTTCAACAACTACGTGCATATATTGTGCACTTGACAGTTGAACACTGGACATAAACTTAACGGGCATTTAACATACACTTAACCGTTACACATACACTTACATATTATGCTCGTTCAACAAAAACTTACATATATTGTGCACTTGACAGTTAAACACTAAACATAAAATCAGAGTAGCTTGTTGGCAATTTCTTGAGTTTTTAAGCGCACTGGTCTAAGATGCGGTGTTATCATGTGGCGAAGCCTCCAGTCCACCTGAACGAGAAAACTCGGTCGTATGACTTATGTAGAGCCTCCCCCCATCCAACAACAAATGATGGTATCTAGCGATCCAGCCATGTCCAAATAGATACCCAGCCATGTCCCTAAGATGCGGTATCCATGAGAGCTTTTCATCTATGGTGAGACCCAGCAGCTCCAGTTCTTTGATTTTCTTGATGGTTTTGCCCTTTAGTTAAAGCACCGGGTTGCGTAAGAGAGTCTGCCCTGGGTTTATGGAAGAGGATATACTTGGATTTTTGTTGTGAGAGTTCTGTGAGTTAATTTCTTTTCAGAGTTCATTAAAGAGGGCACTTAATTCGTTGCTGTTTCACTGGAGCTGATCTCTTGTTTTCCCTCGGATTATGGAGGTAGCATTATCAGCGAAGACGACTACCTTAGAATGGGCAGGCCATCGGGCTTTCAGGATGAAATCGAAGGTGACGTTCCAGACTTCAGGACCTGCGTATGACCCCTGGGGGGGAAAGCCCCTTAAATGTTGGTAGCAGACATATCCTTTGCTGTCCAGATGGCATGGTGGTTAGGGGAGATTACTGCGGTACCAAAGGTCACGGGTTCGAATCCCAGAGGAGGCATGGATGTTTGTAAATATATAGTGTCTTTGCGGCATGAGGGCACTATCCACACTCATATGGCGAGCCGAAAGTCCGCTCGTGAGGTTGTAGTAGGGAAAGAGATGTTGGAGACCCTTGGACCCGTGCCTTCCCGTGGTGCTCTCCGGGGCGGAATTGAGCGAAGTAGTACTGTCACCGGTATGGTGTTCAAGGCTCTTGTCAACGACAGTCGCAATCATGCTCTCTTCGCCACGATGAATTTCGCTGGCTTGTTATGAGATTACTCAGCCAGGAGAGATAACTCAGAACAGAGCAACAACAGATAAAACCTTTAGTTGCAAAAAAGGTTTAGAGGACGCAAAGATTTATGTTGTAGCATTTTAATATTTAATCAAATTAGTTTTGTATTAAATAAGAAATCTAATTTTTTACATGTTCCGGTAGTCTCTACAGTCATATTGAGAAAAATATCCCACTTGTTTAAAAAAACACAACAGTCATTTGATATTTCACACAACAAAACTTGATCGATATTTTTTATTTCAAAATTTGCGATATTTGGTGTCATTTTGAATTTGCATTGAGAATCAGTTAATAAATAAACTAGAACAATTCGAGAGTGATTTTTACCCCTTTAAGTTTCATTTGAGGATATTCTCTTGTGAATTACTAGTGTTTTTATTCATAATTTTGTTATCACTGCTACACCGAAAGAATTTTTCACATTTGTAATTTTTAAGTTTTCGAAATCTTAAGATTTATATTAATATTTACATGACGTTTTATTACTTTGGAATCATAACCTGGTAATCGTAAAAAAATCATTAAACTGGAAATATTTTTAATATTTAAATAATGTTCATGTTTAATAACGCGGACATGTGTTCCGACGAATAGACGTGCAACCGTTGAGCAAGTGACCGCCCAGATGAACCAAGAGGCTACCAACAGTGTCTCCTCAACGACGGTTCAGCGAACTTTGCTGCGTATGGGCCTCCGTAACAGACGCTTGGTTAACCCTTTCCAGCACGCTACCTTTTAAAGTCGGAGTTTTGATTAAACAAAAAAAGGTAGGCTATCTAATTAGGCCTAGAGGAGTACACAAGTAAAATTTTGTGAAGATAGCTTTTATGTTTTAATTCTGTGTGTGTGCCCAAAGTGGAACACTGATTGAATAGAGCTTCGAAAAGAGTGCTGAAACGAGCATTGTTGTCAATGAACTGACCGATTACATGCAGAGAAACAACGAATACAGACTTTCAGTTGTCCTAGGTTATCGGTGAGCCCGGTCTGGGCCTACCTAGGGTTCGCCGTTTGATTTTAGGCAAGATTTCAAGGTAAAAATTTAAAACTAATATAGAATAAGAAGATTAGCATACAGCCAAAAATAACATAAAAATTTCTTTTCGAACAATTCCTTTTATACCCTAAACAAAATCTGGATGATTTCTTTGAAAAATGAGGGTCTTAAAAAAATTAACGTGGCTAAAATATATGGACTGGTTTGTGTTGTGCTGCCATCTACTATAAATAAAGAAGGTTCAGAGTAACCTTCTTTATTTATAGTAGTCTTCTTTATTTATAGAACACACCTATAAATCCTTTTTCATTCAATTTTTCTGTGCGTACAGAAGGAAATGATTTTTAGGTGTGTCCAGACCAGACACACTGTTCCGCAAAGGGTTAAAGCAGGTATGCTGATTGCAGTTCATCGGCGACAAAGCCTGTAATTTACACGCCAGTACCGCAACTGGATGTTCACTGAGTGGCGGCAGGTGGCTTTTTCCGATGAATCACGTTTTATGCTCCATCGGATAAATGGACGCTGACGTATACGGCTTGAAACGTCGTAAAGCATACACCCTGCAACAATTGCCGAAAGAGTCTGAGCTGGAGGAGGGAGCATTACGGTTTGAGGAATGTTTTCGGGGCATTCGGATGGGTGCACTCATCATTTCGGAAGGCACCATGGAGCAACAGAAGTACGCATCTGATCTTGCGGACCATATCCACCCCTATATGCCAGCTCGTTTTTCTCAGAATGATAGAATCTACCAGCAGAACAATGGGAAGTGTCATACAGCTCGGAGTGTACGTGCGTGGTTCGAAATGCACCAGGATGTGTTTGCCGTACTCCCCTGGCCAGCAGACTCCCGGGACTAGCAAACCCAATGGAGAATTTGTGGAACTACCTCGACTGGGTTGTTCGCGTCATAGAATCTCGACCCCGTAACCTTGCTCAGTTGGTCACTGCACTGGAGTTAGAATGGCTCAACATCTTAGTGAAACCTTCAAGAACCTAACTGACTCTCTTCCTGCACGTCTCGCAGTAGTCTTCTCTACGAAAGATCGTTATTTTGGCTTTTGACAGGTGTTCACTTTAATGTCACTGGACTGTGTATTTGCGGAGCTATTTTCAACTCATGCATATTTCGCTTTGGTTACCTATCCCTAATAACAACAGACAAAGTTCTCAAATGAGATTCGCAATGTTTGCAGAGTTTACACGCATTTTGGGTACAAACAGAATCACAGCGGCAGCCTATCATCCAATGTTAAATGGCATTGTTGAACGATTTCGTGGAAATTCAAAATCCTCTCTCAGGGCCTCACTAGACCAGTAACTGTACTGAAACAGTCCCAGTTGTTCTGCTTGGTATTCGGACAACCATTAAGAAGGATATGCAGACATCTTGTGCAGAATTCGTGTGCGAGCAACTCTCAGGCTGCCTATTGATATGATAACTTCCTTTAAGATATCTCCATGTAATACTCAATTCATTACTTGTTTCCGGCATATAATGCAGCAACTAAACCCAGTAGCGACATCCGCACATTCTCAAGATAAGTGTTATATAAGAAAGAACTTTAAATCATGTACATGTACAGATGTCACCCAAAAGCATCGTTAAATTGCATTCGATAGCGGTCAAAATGTATATTTTCGTTGGAATATGATACCCGAAAATTTTCGCTATAAGTTTAGTTTAGTTTTGTGACGGAGGACGTGGGCACCACCCCTTTACCATTATGGTTAATTGGTTTAGCACCACGTCCACCCTTATCTAAAGCTGACTCATGTTAGAGCCACACGAGATCCACTCATAGGGCACATTGATTAGTGTTACAAAACATAGATATTAAAAATGGTTACATCTGTGTGAAAACAGTACTTATGAACAAAACTTTAGCAAGTGACACATAAGATTACAATTCAATACCCTAGCAAGTAATTTTAGCAAGTTTACATATAAAGTTTACAATTCAATACATAAAGAAGATATATCATACATAATGATTTATATTATACTGTTGTGATTGATAAGTGACGACATTGTCAACATGAATTTACTAATGCAAAATTCATCATTTAAACTCAGTATACAAAAACCCAAGAAACATACAAATGCTTATATTTCATACATTGCCAACTTAAATTTATAGTGGAGAAGTATAAAAATGCTTAGATCTCATATAAGTCTCTAATTATTCTGAATGTCATTGTTAACTTTTATATTACAGCTTACTACTAAAGACACAGTTATTATATTAAAATTGGATATTAATACAGTTAAATGAATAATTGCACTTAGACTATAAATACACTATAAAAACATAAATTCTTTACAATTTCTAAAATGCAACGTTCAAAACAATGATTATATGCGAATATTAGAACAATGATTCAATACTATTACTTATATTAATGATAATACTATTCATATTATTAATCATATATGCCATGTTGACATCAAAATAATATTTTTTTTCATACAGGTGCTTATTACTGAAATGATGTTACATATTACTAGCAAGCAATTCAAAAATAAGATATGTACAGTACAATTTTACTTGCACATTGGAAATACTAGAGAAATAAAATTCAATACAATGATTCCGTACGATTACTCATGAATAATTCTATACTATGATTCTATACGATTTTTCAAATGCAATGATTCAATACAACAATTCTATGCGTTTATTAGAACAAAAATCTATATAATTATTCAAAATTTCAATCGCTATTACAATATTTCCTTTTACAATATTCCTTTTACAATTTTCACTATTACAATTTCCTTTTACAATTTTCGCTATTACAATATTTCCTTTTTTCCTCATACAAGGACGTAGAAAGTGGAAGATGATCATTTTATTTATGAAAGTTTACGAAAATGGTTCGTGCACGATAACTTTTGTGGCGTGTTTTATCTATGTCTCCTTACATTTTTCAGTTTTAGGGAAAAAAGTCAATAGTAAGAAAGAAATGTTTAGTTTTATTCAAAACTGCATGAAAATGATATGAAAAAGCATTGGGCTTTTTATTCGAATTCAGTTCCGGGTTACAGCGCTTTCTCTGCAAATATTTTAAGTATATGAACAATTTTGGGAGATACTGTATATTAAAAGCATATATGATACATATAATTTCTATACTAAACGTTTACACACAAAACTTCTGACGTGATGAAAATGGAAAAATTAATGAATAATAAAAAAGTATTTAAAACTAAATTTAAGAACTTTTAAAGAATAAACTGTTAAATTTCATTCTGAAATGCAGCGTTAAAGCAGTTTCTATCAAATTACCTAATACATTTAGTAACTGATAATCTATACAGGGTAATTCTAAATTGGTTTTACAAATTAAGAGGATTGGTAGTACTCATCCAGATGAGCAAAAATTAACATAGACCATAGCGTCGCATTCCACTCTGAGAGGCAGAAAAGAGGAATATTAGAATTGCAACCTGAACTTACAACAGTTTTGGGAGAGCGAATGAACGAGACCAAAAGTTGCACAATCAGTTTAGTGAAAAACTCACAGAGATTTCACAAAACGGATAAAAACCGAAAACTTGGCGTTCGAGTGTTAATGCGAGCTCAGACTTTGATGGCAAACGCTCAAATGCACATCTTTGGTTGGCAAGGTCTCAACCTCGCAAACGATTGCAACAAGTTTACTATCCAAATAATTAGGGGGGGAATTATCTATTAGGAAAAACACTGCTACCTTGTTATCCCAAGGTAGCAGTTTTTTTTTTCCCTTCATCATCCTCCATCCTGTCCTCCTGGACTTACTGTGCTACGCTCATTCTACTTGAAGCGCCCTTCTATGGGATACGAAGTTCTGACAGCACAGCGGGAACACAGCATGAACTTTCCATGCTAATTTCGACATACAGCGGAAGTTGGAGTTAGTTGATAATAATCAGCTCTTGATTAGATAATTAACCTGTTGCAAACGTTTGCGAGGTTGACACATTGTCAACCAAAGATGTGCATTTGAGTGTTTGCCATCAAAGCCTGAGCTCGCATTAACACTCGAACGCCAAGTTTTCGGTTTTTATCCGTCTGTGAGTTCTTCACTAAACTGACTGTGCATCTTTTGGTATCGTTCATTCGATGTCCCAACACTGTTGAAAGTTCAGAATGGAATTTTAATATTCCTTTATTCTGCCTCTCAGAGTGGAATGCAACCTTATGTTCTATGGTAATTTTTGCTCATCTGGATGAGTACTATCAAAATCTTAATTTGTAAAAACAATTTAGAGTAATCCTGTATAATATTTGTAAACGTTCTTTGCAATTAGGGAATGATCTGAATTCACCTTTTCTGGAATTCCTTTGTAAAGTTTTAAGTAATAACTCCATTTTCTTCTTCTTTAATTTTTCTTTTATTCCACTTGAGCTCGTAATGTTTGGTTCAATTTTCATTATTACTTAAATCAGTTTCATAAAATATGATAAAAACATGTAACAATTACTCCGAAAATTTCATTTGTAAATTGATTTATATTATTAATTTTTGAAAATATAAATATTTTTCACTGTCGTACTGGTTTAAGGCAAAGAAATTAAGATGCAAACTTAATCATAATGAGTTTACTTACCGCTTGAACATATTCTCTCATTATTAGGGTACATGACCAGAGATGGACTACAGTTGTAACACGCTTTAAAAGCTTGAAGCAAACATTTGTGCACGCACATCTAGAAATAAAATTACGATTCTGTAATTATTAGAATCTATAAAAATGTTCTGTAATTATTAGAATCCTTCAGATTCATTGACATTCACTCCTTAGCTCGCGCTCTGAGACCTAATAAATTAAAATCATGTTTACAACCACAGACATGAGTGATCTGTACTACAGCCCTAAGATTACAAATGCATTTATAAAACGTTACTAGATGCGAGGGGTAAATATTTAATCTAAGTTAAATGTCTTAAAATTCGCTGAAAAATTTGGTTACAAACGAAGAAGTGTTGAATATCTCATGCGGACACACTTTGAACTAGTGAAACACTCACAGGCCCTTAGCTTTATTTGATAGACAGCAGGCAAACCGCTCTTAAATTTTAATTTAATTAGGAATTTCGCAGAATTAAAAGTCACATGGTTATTAGTGGTTTGTAGAAACAGTCGTTTCTTTCTCTGCCAGGAAATCGGCTGTTTCATTTCGCTTTATGCCAAAGTCCACTGCAAGACGATTGACTCAGCCAGCCTGTTGAGAACCTTCCTACATTCGTAAATTCGTTCGAAAGTACAAAGCGGCCTTGCTATCGGACAACCGGAAGATATCATTTAGCAAGTCCAGATCATCCACGGCAGTTAAATTTTCACGCAGAGTCCTCCTTTCTTTACTTTATCTAACACAAGTTTCTGTCTATTCTAACAGCGATTCTTAGCAGTCTTTTGATTGCTTCATTGCTTAATTTTAAGTAGTTCCTAACAGAATACTCTTTCCCCGAATAACAATATCCAAGCTTACATGTAGACTTTATGAGGCTCTTAGCCGTCTGTTCGCCTGCGTTCCCGGAGCGGCGTGGAGCAGAGAGTAGATGGTTTCTACCAGGAAGATAACACACTGTGAGGCTAAGGCCAGGTCAGTGGTCTTCCTTGGTGGCGCTCACTCACTCACTTTACCCGGGGCTTAGTTGGAAACATAAATGCTACGGTAGGAGTTTCGGAATTGTCTTTAAAATCTTCTGCTAAACAAAATAATTTTATATGTAACAAACATTGTGGATATAGATGCGATACCCACAATGTGACTTACCATAATTTTTAACATCGACTTTTTCACGAATATAAAAATTTAAGTCACATTAAAACATTTAACTGCATTAAAATTTGGAATAATTTTCGATACAGAATGCAACAAAATATTAACATACTCTGTCAACATCTTATTAAACAGGAAGGCGAAGAAGGTGTTTAAGGAAGAAGATTTAACAAGTAATTTTTAATCATTGTAATGCATTCGAAAGCAATCATCCTGATAACCATCTAAATTTTTGATTTAGATTTTAAATCTAAACCTAATTAGCTATCTAAGCACACTCGTTTATCTTTCCTTGAATTATTCTCTTCACACAAAAAAAATGTCTGAACGGCACACACAAGAGGAAAAACTTAATAAACTTAGATTTAGTGAAAGTCTTGTAGTATAACCCCAAATTAAGACATGCTAGCTATCACTCGTTTTCCCATTTTAGCCCAATAGGGCTATTTGTCCCGAAATGCAATTTTGCATTGAGACATTATAAATGCGTTATGTCACTTTTCATTCGAGTCTGTTGCCATTCGGCAAAATGCAAAATAGTTAGCTTTCAAACTGGAATGTGTGTTATGGCTTAGCAAAGTAAGCTCTTTGAAAGCTATAGATGCAGTTCTTAGTAATATTTGTTTCTTATTTCTGAATCGAATTGATTTAAATAATTAAAATTCTTTCGATTCCTGATCTATCTAATTAAAATTTTTATAGAATAACATTATATAATTTTTATTATTTATTTCATATGTTGTAAAACTTAAGTGAATTTTTTAGAAGCAAATTTTACTATTTTAAAGCGAGGAGTGGGAACAGTACTATACGGAATAAAGCAATTTAATCTCCATTGCGTGAGTCTGTCTGTCGGGAATTCCACTGATATGCTGTTTTTAAATATTTTATGATTTTGTTGTTGAACTGTATTTTAATTGGTATAAGGGCGAAGAACGCGTTATGTAATAAATCAAATTAATACGCAAAACTTTCATAATAAAAGGATTAAAAAAAAGTTTTGTAAGTGAGTTTACTAAGAAAACTGAACGTTGATATGACAAATTAAGACTACAAACAATAGAAAATGTATGCCAACACTTGAAACTGTACCTGGAATTCTAAATATATGCTGCTTTTAAAATTTTTAGATGTTCCTTTTGTGTAAATGCAACGATATGGCATAAATGCAAAAAAATAGGATGCTTAACAATAAAGCTGAAAAGACAAATAAAACGGGTTAGCAGGAGTGAGTGCAACAACAAACTGGTAAAGTGCTAGTGTATAAAATCCTTAGCAAACCCATTTGAGCGACCGTTAAAATCTGAAACCTTTCAAGCTTTTTTTTTAATTCCCGTATTTAGATAAATACAATACAAGCTAACTTTTTAACAACTAAATAACTTCTCTCCATCTAAGGCGGGTTTTAATACTGAACGTTAAAACACACACACACACACAAATCATTCAGTATACACACAAGTAGGCTATAGGTGGGTCAACCAAAGTAAACAGTTTTACTGCTAGATTGCTACAGCTCTCCAACCTAGCACTCCGCTAGCTGTTTAAATTAGTTTGCGTTCCACTGAAAATCTGGCCCGAACAAAGAGTTGCAGATACAGGAAAGAATTAATATAAAATGGAACATTAGCCAAAACAAAGCTTACAGATATTTCTAGGTGTCTCAGTCTATATAGAAACTTTGTCTCCTTTTAACTACATTTTCGAATGACATAAGAAATGTTTTTACCTCAGCATATTTATAAAAGGCATTACATTCATGCATGAATCTTTTTTCCATTTTTTTTTTTTTTTTTTCTGCCCCAAAGTAAACTATTTGGGAAAATTTATGTCTTACCTCTTTCGATCTTGGCCCAGTTTTATTCCTTTTAAGCCACTCTTCGGTATAATTTAAGCAATTCGTCGTATATGGAAGAGGTAATAAAATTTCCTGTTCCTATAAATATGAAGGAAATCTATCAGCGATTAATATACCACAGTGTTTTTATGTAACATTAAAAATGCAAAATTATACCCTAGATAATCAAAACACAAAAGTGAGTAGTAGCATACAAAAGTAGTAAATGAAAAAATGAATGCCACTTTCCAACATAATGAAACCTATCTCAATATATTCCTCGCAATATGGCAGTCCTTTCTTCAGAGGGCCCACCAGCGGCCGAGCGGTTAAAGTCGCTGAACATTGGTAGTTCGGTCCCGAGGTTCGAATCCCGCGAACGGGCTGGCTGCATGGGTGTTTTCGTGGTTTTCCCCATGTGTAACGTGTATACGAGCTAGTTTCCCTTAGAAAGTCCTCCACGAAGGCATCCCTCCCCTTACGCAGATAGCCCTAGTGTGCTTTGCCATAATTAAATACACCACACCACACCTTTCTTCAGTGGCAAAAAAAAATTTGTTGTAGGCTCTACCAGCTCTGAAATTTTCATCGCATTACAATGCGTCTGTAATATTTTCAGAGCATTAAGTGCTTAGAAAAATATCTGCCATGTTTTGGAATGTTCTGCAGCTGGATCTGCCTGGATCACACCAATATGAAAAGAAATGAGTCTGTAATCACTTGTCCGAACACTCTACGTATAAGGCCACCAGCGGCCAAGCGGTGGAACAATAAGTAGCTCAATCGGACACTCGGGAGTCCTGGGCAATGGCCTGGCTGCATGGAAGTTTTTGTGATTTTCCCTATTTGTAACGTGAATGCGAGCAAGTCTTTCCCGAAGGCATTCTTTCCCTTAGGCAGATATCCCTTGACTGCTTTGTGATAAAAAAATAAATCAAATCAAACCCCTATGCGTAAGATGACTGCGATGATAGGGGTAATTCCTTACGAAGTTCGTTTCTTCTAATTTTAAATGGCAACATTGTCTTCTGTCTGCATAGATAAACGGGTAACGGAATACCTACCTGCCTCGTCAACTGAACGACATTACAGGAACTGGCGAACCAGTAATAGGCACCCGAAGATGGCCTGACACTCCAGCTGGGCCCACATCCCCAAGACACCAACTATTTTAGGCTCCCGCCAACAAGCCCACCGCTAAACTGACCAGCCAGAACGACGGTTCCAGTGGACAGAGACCACGGTGGAGTGAGCATTGTGAACGAGGAGCGATGACTGTCCGTTCAAGGAGAGGCCAGCACTACGCGTGCTGCCCCTCTCCTTAGGCTTTACATAAAATACCAAAATCAGCAGTGATTTTGGTATTTTATGACTGGACGTTCAATGGCCCAGGTGCTATTTGGCTACCAATACCCTGGTAGACAAAGACTAACCTCCCGGTCCATGATGAGTGAATATAGGATCCACCCCATGGACCATGGGAACCGCCAAGTTCGTGAATTATATACCCCGTGGCCGAGAATGCCTAGGTACAGATCCTAGCCAGTGCTTCACAGAGCGCTCTGCGTCAACCTCCGGGAAATGTATAGATAAAAGAATAAGTTTAATCGGGCAGTCCATTGCCCCCGGATATAACTATTTTTCTCTTCCTGGATTCGAGTAATCAACTTTATGCATTTGAAAATTTTAGAAGATATACAGTTATTTCAATATTAATTGCTTTGTTATTTATTCTAATATTCGACAAAAATATTACTACTAATAAAATATTTTTATTTTAAAATTTCCTTTCGCTTTGTAGAAATTCTCGAAAGAAACCAACATGGAAAAGCATCTGTATCCTCAAATGATTTCGAGCCATTTATATTCCAATTTTCTGTATTGATGTCCTAACAATTACACCACAATGTTGTCGGAATTCGAACCATTTACCCTGCCAACAACCGAGCGGTAAGATCTCTAAACGTCGGACGGAATTTCCAAGGTCTTTACATATGTAACGTGACTACGGGTAACTTTTACTTAAAAGATCCTCCATGGAGTTCTCTCTTCCCTCTTCTATCTCTTCCTGTATCTCGTATGCTTTACCATAAACCAAGTAATTCAAGCTACCTCAGCTAAACTGCGAATGGGTAGACATACAAGATTCTGTCGATCAAATCCAAGTGGTGGTGACTTGTTGTTTACCACATTTATGCGAACTCTGTTTTTTTCCGACTTGGGAAGAATTAAAATTGAACTGTGCTCTTATCAAGATTCAAATCATGGATTTTTTTACACTACCAGTTGGGTTTTCTAACAATTTACTAGAGGAACTTGTGAAAGGAATGTCATAATATCTTGAAACTCTAATAATTTAAGAGATATTTTAATTTTTATTTGTTGCTGAGATTTAACTGAAAAATAATAGGTAACAAATTTGTAATTAATACGAAGAACATCGAAGTTATCAAATTAAAAAAGTTTCATGGGAGTAAGGAATAAAAAACCTGAATAGTTGTACATGTTTTACAGAGAAGAGCAAGGCATGAACGCAAACGAATTATAATGTTGTTTAATAAGAAAACAATAAAGGAATAATAGAATAATAACAATAGAATCTCATACCATGCGAACGTATATCTTGTATGTTCTTCCCGCTTTCATGAAAATGCCTCTTTCGAAAGGATTCACTCCTATAAAGGGAGAATGAACAGAAAACAGAATTCCTGCGCGGTCACCGGGGACGAAAATTTCTTCGGGCTGTAGATCAAACGTGAATACACTTGTAGGAACTTTGACTGAAATTGGAAACACTCGTTCTACTATCTTCAAATAAAATAGATAATCAGTTGCATGAATAAAATATGAAATTTTTTAAATAGGTTTTTAAAGTTATACAAATATATCTTTTGCGATCGGTTGATTGCACAAAAGTTAAATTTAATGATTTTTATAACATTAATTTTTTTTAAACTCTTTAAGTTTCACAAAACTTGAATATTAGCCTTATTAAAGAATTTTTTATTACTGGAAGACGACATACTATACATTCCATTCATTAATAACAGCCAAACATATTGGCGAAATATGGCTATTCCTTCCCGCTTTATAACATTTTATCAGACCATTTTTTAACCAGTTAACTGTGATTGATGAGTATACTCGTCATGGAGAAGCGGCAAGATTTTGTGTGTTGACGAGTATACTCGTCATGCGTATAAAGCAACGTAATAGAAACAGAGAAAAGAAAAATAATAACAAGGAAACCGGAGCTAATGATTGATTATAATAAAAAAAAGGGTGGAGTCGATATGACGAATGAAATTGTCATAGCGTATTCCACAGCAAGAAAACGACTCAAAAATTACTACAAAAAGATATTTCTCCAATTCTTAGACGTATTTGAATTTATATTTTAATGCATTCATATTATATAAAAAAAAATAATGGAACATTATCGCGTATCAACTTTTGCACAAATTTATTGAAGACACTTTTTGCGACGTATCCAATTGAAAGAAAGAAATCGACCCAAACTCGGCCATTTAAACCTAATATAAACCAATTAGGCGAGAAATCATGTTCCGGATTATATATCTGGAACATCGGAATAAACAACCTTACGCGAAGGTGTACGCATTGCTACAAACGTAAGATCAGGAAGGAATCGCGTTACTGGTGTTCGATTTGCAAAGTCCCATTGTGTATAGTACCCTGTTTCGCTGAATATCACTCCACAGCAGGAATTTAAATTCTTACTTCTATATGTATAATACTTAATTTAATTTATTGCGTTTTTAGTTTAATATGTATGTAATATACGCTTATGTTAACCAAATAAGTAAATATTAGTAATAAAATTTTCATTTTTATAAAATAAACCCATCTTTTTCATCCAATATCTTACCAGCGCAACTTACTCTGTGATTGACGAATATACTCGTCATGGTTCGATTCTGGCGATACAAAACGGTGAGCACTCTTAAACGAGGGCACCACAATTAACTGGTTAATTTTGAGCAATTGATCTTGGATTTTCTCAACGGAGCAATAGACTAAATTTTATAAAAATGGACCATAGTAAAATAATTTTTTATTTTGCTTTACCAAAAACAAAATTAAATAAATTACTACACAATATCTGAAAATTCTTGCAATTATTTTTTACATTAATTACATGACTGGCTTAGAAATTAATTTTGACTAAGTCTTAAGACTTTATTATCGCTCGATATTTTTAAATTTAAGTCTTGAGACTTATCATTTTCCTTGAAAAGAAAAATAAAAACCTAATAATAAAAACCAGTATGAGAATTGTAATATTAGGATAAAAACCGTGCTATTAGGATTTATTAAATGAAAAAAAGCATATATATATTAAATTTTGTGTAATGTAATGGGGTACACACTTTTCTTTTTATCTCATGTGAAAAGCTACCTTAGCTTAAAATTTGCTTAAACCAAAATATTGAAATCAAAAGGTATAAGTTATTAACTCGTAAGATCGTGTTCTCTTTGCTATCATACAAGTTGCCTGTACCTTAATAATAAGCCTGACAATTTCTCGCACAGGCGTGAAGAGTAACAACACATAAAAAGAGTGTAAATTGCTATTTTATTTTCAAATTCTTTAACAAAAATGCACGTACTTCGTGATCACAAAACACGGAATACTTGCGGGGAGAATTTAAGGTAAATTTAAGGATAAATTTGTTAGGTAAATAGTAGTACTAGACTACACAATTTACTTAAAGCTAACAGGCTGACTCAACAACCTACAACGACGATAGTCTTAATGAACGACCAGAATGCGTAGCCGCAACTAAGATTAACAACTGGAGGACAGAATAGCAACGTGCACTAACTATCGAAATCCCGTTCTGTCTAAACTTCGCGTTTCGCCTGTTCAACTCTCTTCCCCTAACTTAATTTGCATTCAAGGGAGAAAAATGCGAGGTGAAATAAGAAGTTCAGAAAAGATACCAAAAATTAAAATAATCGTTTATTCAAACTAAGGGAAAATTTACGAACTAAGCTAAGCAAGATAGCTTTACTGATGAAATTTATACTTTTTTAAACTTTCTTGATTAATTTAAGCTCCTTAAACTTAAGGCTGTTTAAGTCCGAAATTTCATTTGTATAGTTTCATTTGTAAAGTGCTTTTAAACGTTAACTCTAAACTTCTGAGCTATAAAAAAGAACAGCTATAAATGTATCACATTACGCAAGTGAGAAGATTTTCAGAGTTAAGGATTCCATGTGCTGAGAATAAGTTTTTTTTTTTTTTTTTTTTTTTTTTTTTTTTTTTTTTTTTTTTAAGTTGTTTTCTGATTATTTAAAATGCTTTAATACAAGCTGAAATAAAATTACAAATCAATCAAAGGCCAAATCAAATTACCAATCAATAATCTTTCTGAAGAAAATTATTCATATTTAATTATTAAAAATGCTGTGGAAACCATGATGTTTCGGTATTTTAAGCAACGATGGGTAATATTTTCAATAAGAAAGAAAAAACATCAAAGTTTGGCTTCAAGGACAAAATTTGTTCAAAATACATATCCAAGGAAAAAAATGCAACGTTTCGAATGCTACACAGACAAGAACTTTAAAAGAAAAAATTCGAAGTCAAAGGGCAATTGCATATTTATTAAAATGTTCATTGTCAACTGTAGACAAAGTAATTAGTTCTGATTTGAATCTTAAAAACGCGTAAAATCGTAATGTGCATCGTCTTTCTTCACGACATATCTCCAAAAGAAGAACGCACTGCAGAATTCTTTATGAGAAACAATTATTCAGAGAAAAATGGCAGAAATATTTCTACGATTCGAGAAATTAAATGAGAATTCTACGTATAAGAAGGAAATGCAGCCCAATCGATATAATGGTTATCGTCGGTGACTTCTGTGCCGAAGGGCCCGGGTTCGAATTTCGGAGAAGGCATGGATGTTTGTAAATGTATAGTGTCGATGCGGAATGGCAGCATTCTAAATATGCATCGAGCCGAAAATGCCCTCCTGTGATTTGGTGGAAGGGGAGAGAGGGGTGGGAGAGCCTCGGACCCGTCCCCCCCCACGATGCTGTCCATCAATATTGGGGAAGGGGCGGAACTGAGCTAATTCGCACTGCCACCTGAATGGTGCTCAAGGTTGTTGCCAACAGCAGGCGTAATCTTGCGCTTCTTGCCATGAGGAATTTCGTGGGTTTGGGCTGAGCGAGAATAAGTAACAACAACAGAAGGAAATTACGCAACTAAAAGAGAAGCACTAATGAAAGCACATTACATAATTATACAGAACTGAGTAGGAAGTATAACATTTAAATAAAAATACATAAAACAGATATTGGTTTACGAAAGCAGAAGAATTTGCATCCAGTTATTATTTCAAAAACACATTTTTCGAGAATTATTACTGCAAGATCAATTCTTTTATAACTATACTATCTGAAAAAAATCTATATATAAAGGTATGCTGTATTTAAATTCTTATATACGTACTTAAGTCTTGCCTGGGGACCATCCTTGCATCTTTTGGGCTGTCTAGTAGTGTATTTATACTGTAACATCCTAAGCGGCTTCCATCAAAATAGTCTTTGCTCCTCACGAAAGGTCCTTCTACCTCAGCATAACTAAAAATCATGAAAAAATCTTAAATGATTTATTATAAGGGGGAAATTTTCAAAAGCAAGCTCCCTTGTTAACATTTAGCTCAAATATTTCCTGAATAAAAGGCTTATTAACAAATACAGTAAACCAAAATACAAGCTGTCAAGGCAGTCTTGTAGTTATTGCTAATCTCACGTCCAGTTTATGGACGACTAAATGAATAATTAACATGCGTGCCCGACTCGAATGCCTGTCAGTAACTATAGACTAGTCACCGACTACAGTGGTATGATTTTGCTCTTTAAAAATTATATTCTGATGTAGATCTTGTCAGAAGATGAAACCTGAGTATTTCATAAACTCTCTTCTCTTTTGAATTCCATTCCTCTTGAATCTTTCTTTGTATTTTTATCCTCTTGAAGAGATTTTTAAACAGGTATATTTTAAAAGTCCCTGTTCTGGAAAGATAAATAAATAAACACCTCGTACGTGGTTTAGATAAGCGCAAGCCTATGAATACAATCAATACTGTGATGAAATTTGTATCTAGCTAACAAAATAGATGTCTTGAATAAATAATTTTTAATTTACTAGATTTTTCTCATATTAAGTAGGAAATGCAGCGTTTACACGTGGAAAATTGCTACTTTTTAAATTAATCTCAACGTTCAGAAATAAACGGCACATATACCTCACTTTGTTTATGTATCTTTAAATCCTTATCTCCCTAATACAGTAAATGATGTCGACTTTTTATTTTTTAAAATGATCTTCTAAATACTTTGCAGGGTTTATATTTATTTTAACTAACATTTATTTTAAGTTTAAACTATCTTTCCTGTCAAGCCTTACTTTCCCCTGGAACTGCCAATGCCAGAGTATGTAAATTTTAGTAGAACGCGCAAGGATTCAAATTATCAGCGGAAGTATTCTGAGTTAAATAGAAAGGAAACGAGTTCGAGGTGTGCTGTTCTTACTTCACGAGCGCGGAGGTAGTTAGCCAGAAATTGAAGGAACCCCGCGTTTCGGCCTGTGTGCTTGCCTGGAAGAATTGTTAATCGTTCAAGTGATCTTCAAGTTTGCTGAATTAGCAGCGGTATTGTAAAACGCGGTGAGGTTAGTTACTTTTAGAGAGCCTCGTAGTTAGAGTCTTGTCATTAGTTTCTTTTCAGGTTCTTATTTTATTTTACCGCCGAGTTGGCGCGTAGTTTGTGAGCGTCAAGAGCACGCACTTGTAATTTATTACGTTGAATAAAAAGGGACTTAAACCCTTAACAAGACTCTGTCATTTATCCAGTTTCAACAGTCACCTCTTGATTGCGTGCAAATTGGAGGCGCGCAACGCTACATTGGCGCCCGAGCACTTATCGAACTGAAATGGCCGAAAATCGGATGGAAGCCGCTGGACAACACCAAGAAATGGACAAGCCAATTGGAAGGATTTGGATACCTGGTCCAGACTTTGAGAGCGTCAATCAAGCCAAACGTCAATTTCGACGGAAAAAATTCGGTGGCGATATTTCTAGAAGGCCTAGAAAATCACTTTCAGCTCTACCCTGTGCCTGAAAGACAAAAAGTTGCCATCGCCACATCCGCACTAAGAGGACAGGCCGCGCTATGGTGGAAAAATATAGGCAAATTTTTATTAGGGGAATTTGGAAGCCAGACATATACATTTGAAAATTTCAAAAAATCGTTAGTAAAGGCCTTCCCCATAGTGAAAGATCGAGCAAGGCTGGAAGCCGAACTATATTAGTTTCTATCAACGGGATATAGAAGAATTGACGGACTTTATTCTACGAAAAATTAAGCTGACGGATATGCTGTATGGGAAGAAACCCGAGGCGGAGATTATTGAAATAATCTTACCAAGATTGTTACCCGCTGTTCAAGACTACTTCGAAATTAGAAACCCAAGCACATTGCAGGAACTCTTCGAATTGGCGGTGAAGTTTCAAAATCGCAGAATAGCGGAAAAAGCTAGAGGGGCATAGTATTCTCAAAGTACCCGAAGGAAATCTTCAAATGAGCAAACCAGAAATGCAAACCGCTTTTATCTGGGAAAGAGCTATCAAGCTAATTCATCGAACCTCGAAGGTCAAGGCCCAAAAAGAAAATTCGAAAACAAACATCCGCGTACCCAGAAGGCAGAACTTGAAAGGAAAGCTTTAAACGAGTAGAGGGGCCTGTGAAAGGGAGGGTCCAGACCCCGGAAGTTTTAAAAAAACCCTAAAAAAAGACACTTAAATACGGTCATCGTAAAGAACTCACATCTACCAATTATACAAGTCCTGGTTGGCGATGTACCAGTAGAAGCCCTCATCGATACAGGAGCAGAAGGAAATTTTATGAGTGAAAACATTCTTCAAAAAGAATTTTTATAGGGTTACGATTATTTAAAACCAAAAATACGGAAATTATAGCGGCGCAAGGAAAAAAACTGTCACTGCATCGGGAAATTATCATTAAAACATACAGGTAAAAGAGGAAGCCTCAAGCCTCAAAGTATTAATTTTTGTAGTGAAGAATCTGCAAAATCCTCTTATTTTAGGTATGGAGTTTTTAAGGGCCGCGAGGGCCAAATTGAATTTTCAAGACAGTTCGTTGTGCTGGAGATGGACCAGAGGGTGGTGGAACCTGTGGAACAACCGCAAGTTGGACCTTAGCCATCTGAATGACCATGAAAGTCAAGCCATCCAGCAAGTGGTGAGTAATTTTTCTAACTTGTTTTCAGAAAAGCCTGGTAGTTGTCAAATAGTTACGCATCAGATTACAATTAACTGCCGAAAAACCTTGTAGGACTAAACCTTATCGCTATGACAAACAAAAAGACGTAATCATCGAAGAACATATTCAGGAGATGTTAAAGAATAAAATAATAACGCCCATAAATAGTGAGTACGCGAGTCCAGTCGTACTATGTAGGAAAAAGAACGAGTTTCCTCCTTCGGATAAAAGGGCTTGGAGGTTTGCTATCGATTACAGAAAACTAAATAGTATTACTAAATTCCCAGTTTACCCTTTGCCGGTTATAGAGGAAATTATTAGACAGATCAAATCGACAAGATACATGTCTACTTTGGACTTAACGTCTGGCTACTATCAAATAGCTATGAGACCCGAAGACATACATAAAACCGCGTTTATAACAAAATCGGGCACTTATGCATTTTTACGCATGCCCTTTGGGTTGTGTGGGGCCCCATCAACATTCCAGAGAGCTATGGACATTGTTCTAAAGCCTGTCCTAGGAAAATCAACTTTAATTTATCTAGATGATATAATTATAACGAGTAGTACGTTGGAACAACACATTAATGATCTAGAACAAGTTTTTAAATTATTAAAAGAGGCCGGTCTTACAATTAACGCCTCAAAATGCAAGTTCGCAACTAAAGAACTTAAATATCTCGGTTATAAAATTTCGCAAAAGGGTATAGAAACGCAAGATTCAAAAATAAAAGCCATCAAGAATTTCCCACCGCCCAACACCGCCAAGAAACTTTCTTCTTTCCTTGGGTTATGTTCTTACTATCGGTCTTTCATAAAAGATTTCGCTAATATTGTTGAACCACTCTTAGTAATCAAAAGAAAGAAAAGAGGTAAATTTACGTGGACAGCGGAAGCAAATACAGCTTTTGAAAGATTAAAAGAAGCGCTCATCAATGCCCCTGTTTTAAAATTCCCGGAGGGGGACGAAAACCTGGAAATTGCAGCAGATGCGTCAGACTATGCGGTGGGGGGTGTGCGGTTCTTATGCAAAATAGCCATCCTCTGGCATTTTTTAGTAAAACGTTGAATCAGACACAAAGGAATTATACAGCTACAGAAAGAGAAACATTAGCCGTATTAATGGCTGTACACAAATTTCGAGTTTATTTCGGCAAAGCGCCAGTAACAGTCTTTTCGGATCATGCGGCTGTTGGTAGACTTTACTCGGGGGGAAAAACCTAACGCCCAGGTTAATAAGATGGGCTTTAAAACTCCAAGAATATAATATCAGAATAAATAAAATATAAACCGGGTAAGGAAAACAATGTAGCTGACGCACTTTCTCGTATAAAACTGGACGATGAAGGAAATGAACTTAAATGCGCTGTGTTGACTTCAAAAATTTTAGATTCTAGAGATACGATTATTACTGAACTGAAAGCTGATCCTGAATTTGGAAATATCTATGCATATTTGAAAGACCCCGAAAGCTTTGAGCACACAGATATCGATGCGATAAGAAATAGAGCAGAAAACTATGAAATAATAGATAATTTATTATTTTATACGAAAACAACAAACGAAAATCTTGAGTACAAACCAGTCATCCCAGCCTCGCTTCGATTAAGCATTTTGAAGGAATTACACGACGCGAAAACAGCGGGTCATTTAGGGGTCAGAAAGACTTTAAAAAGGGTACGCGAGGCGGTATATTTCCCGCAATTATACAAAATAGTAACGGCGTATGTCAGGTCCTGCAATCAATGTCAGTTAATAAATGATATTAATTACAGCCCAGCCGGGTACTTAAATAGCATTCGCGCTACATTTCCGAATGAAATTTTAGGCATAGATCTTCTTGGTCCCTTCCCCCAGAGCGAGTTAAATAAAAATCGTTTTCTTTTAAATAGTTAGTTGTAAATAGGAATAGTAGTAATTTCCTTTAAATAGTCTTAGTAATAGTAGATCATTTTTCAAAATGGACAGAAATTGTTCCACTCAAACGCGCGTCAGCCAAAACAGTCGCGGATGCATTCTTACACAGATACATTTTAAAATACGGTGCACCGATAAAAGTCATTAGCGATAACGGAAAACAATTCATTAGTCAAATATTTGAAAACATATGCAATGGACTTGGCATACGCCATATCAAAATGGTTCCGTATAGACCACAGGCAAACATAGCAGAAAGAAAGAGTGAATAAAAAACATAGTAAAAATAATTCGCAGTTACGTGAGCACACATCACAAGCGCTGGGATGGCTACATAAATGAATTAGCTTATGCTTTAAGAACGGCAAATCACGAT